ATTTCAGAGGTTCACCAAAATTCATTGACACAGGGAGCATGGTGCTGCATAGGCACCATACGAAGCTGGAGAAGTATTTGAGAGCTCTACATCCAGGTCCACAAGCAGCAGGAATAGAGAGTCACTGGGCCTGGCTTGGGCCTTGGAATGCCCCAAAGCCCACCCCCAGTAACATACTTCTTCTAGCAAGTCTATACCTATTCAAACAAGGCCACATCTCCCAATCTTTCAAATGGTACCACTGCCAGGGGACAAAGCATTCAAATATATAAGCCTATGGGGCCATTCTTATGCAAGCCATCACAAAGGGTAAAGAATATAGTTATCCTATCTAGAAATTTTGATCTGCCATGGGGTTTTGTCCTGGGTAGCAATCTTGGCTGACTGATACAATACAAATAATAAAAATAAAGAGACAGATATTGGAGTTCAACCTAAAGATCAGAAAAGTATAAACAGCCAAGCCCCTAGAGGACTCTTACCTCTTTGAAATCTTCTCTGAAGGAGAGCAGTTTCCTGCCTCATCCCATTTTATATTCCTCTATCTAGCGTTGGGATTAAAGGTGTGCACCACCACCGCCCAGCCTCTATGGCTGACTAGTGAGGCTGCTGACATTACAGGTGTGTGCCACCACTGCCTGGTCTGTATGGTTGACCAGTGTGACTGCTTTGCACTGACCTTCAGACAAGCTTTATTGATTGAAACACAAACAGCATACCACTATAGACTGACTACACATACTTTTCCAAGATGACCTTAACTGTTCCATTGGCTTTAATAATCATTTATATATTAATGACCCCAAAATGAAGATCTTTATCATTCATATTCTCATGTCCTAGGCCAATATATCAATCATTATCTCATTTTCCTCCTGGAATTTTTGCATAAAATATCTAAACTCAAAGTAAATATTCAGCCATAGCCTGTTTTTTCTTCTAAATTTTCCAAACCTATTAAATATCCCTCATACAAATATATGTGGGCTGAGGGTGAGGCAGCAGGAAAAAGAAGACAGCATCTGTAGATACTTCTGTCCCATGGCAGTGAAGTGATATATTAAGAAAACCAGCACCTTTACTATGCCCACTAGAGCTTCTATCTTTCTGGTTTTAGTACTTCCGGGTCTCAAGCCTCTTTCTGTCCTTTCTTCCATTTTCTTCCCTTTGTCTGAACTCTGAGCCCTATTTATGAAGCCTCTTGAAGAAGAAATTCATGGAGAAAGGGACTTCAGAAACTTATTCATTTCTTCTTCACTCTGATTAACAAATATGCATGGGAGAAATTCATAACCTTGAGGAAAAGAGGGGATCCACTCTTTTCCAGTCAGAGAGCAAGCCTAACATGCTATGGTTATCCCCTTCTAGGTTTAGTTCTTAATGCCTCTGTGAATGGAATTCTTGGTATAACCTTCCCCACATGACAGACATTCACTTTCTTTAGGCTGAGCTAAAACATCACCCAACTGTGTCCCCAATCTCAGAAGATATCCTTGTCCATTTCTGAGCACTCTGAACACACCTTCAGCACAGCACTGAATATCAGGGAAACATTCCCTCGTGAAAGGTATCAGAACCATGGCTGTCAGCAGGTCAAGTCACTATGCTTGAGTATGACCAACGTGACATACCGACTACTTTGTCCTTTCAAGCACCTCCACCCACAACATTTTAATTTCCCCCACACTCCGAAAGCAACTCTGTTTTCTGTCTTCAATGTCAAAATCCTTCAATTTGCCCAGTCTCACACCCTCTCTCCACTTATTAGCCTCAACCACTCCCCCAGCTCCTTGTACTATGTGTAAAGGTTGCTGGGTCTGTTGTCCTGGCCCAGCCGCACCTCCTCATCAGACGTGAATCTTTAAGGTGTCTCTTTTTTCCCCATTGCTATTCAGGCTACCAACTCGATGCCTCTTCTGCGCCTCTTACATACATTTCCAGAGCGCTGGAGTACATGAATGTGTAATCCCCAGGTATGTAATGCTGGGGAAAACAGGGCTTTGTGCATACTAGGTAAACACTCTGCCAACTGAGCTGCATCCCCTACTCCGGAGGTAGTATCATCACTACTGTTTGTGCAGATATGGCAAATCTAGGATATCTGATCCACTTACTGTAGTTAGGGGAAAGTTAGCTTCTTACTATCTGGCAGAGTGCCTGACAGAGAGCAGATGCTCTGTGTGTGTTGAATTTTGATTGGTTCTAAATGGTCTAAATTGAGTGATTTGTTACCTAAGTTTATAGTGGATACATGTCAGCCTTATGGTGTCTTGTCTTACACCAAATTATTGTGCAAGTCACTAGATCTGTTTTTTGGAAAGTAACTATGAAAAGCTTAAATTCTTCATTTTGACCAATTTTGGATCTCTGTATGTCTCCGTCTATTACAGAAAAAAGTTTACAGCTAAGGGTCAGCACAAATAATAGAAGAGGGATCAGGAAGACTGTAAAAGCTGGAGGCTTGGGACACTTATTGCTAGACAGTGTCTACTTGACAAGAAAGATACACAATGAAATCTCAACAGCATGGTGGTCTGAAGAAGACCAGCATAAGGGCAATACGAGATGACATGCCAACATGGACAGAGGAAATTCCACAGTGCCCCTACCCTAGAAGAAGAGCAACAGGTAGTCAATGACTGCTGGGACAGAAAGAATCAGTTTTCTTCAGGGACGGGTTTCCACACAGCCGGTCCAATTTCAAGTGGTCAGTCCTGGAAACATGTATGTACCAACAGTGCCAAGTAGACACAGTAGGTTGCACATGCATGTGCTGTGGAAGGAGGGAACTTAAAATTCATTAAGACTTTTGTGATCTAAATATCCACAGAAGTGTCTATGCAAACTTGCTCTAAGAGCCATCATACGGACCAAACAAACAAGCCCTTACCGGTAGGTCCTACGAAACAGTTCACTATCCCTCCCATGATTCTCCAGTTTCAGAGAAGGCATCGTGCCGATTTGTACAAGTTGCTTTCCAGTACAAAAGATTTTCCTGAAATTTGTGTCAGGAGCTAGGAAACGAGTTAGCAAGACGCCTCACTCTTGGAGAGAACTTGTTCTAATTTTCTCATTAGCGAAGACGACACCATCGTAAAGAATATCTGCCAACAATCTGATATAAAAAATGTACATGTGTCGTGAAAAATAATTGCTCTTCAATTACCACTGAATTATAAAGCTGCTGCACAGGTGCAATAATACACGGGCCCTGCAAGTCTGAAAAACTGTGAAGCTTAGGTAATTATGTATATTTCAATGAAGACTCTAGAATAAAATTTTCAGAGTTGAAAGAAACAACAAAGCCAGAACCAAAGAGCTATTTATAACCATATATTCTTAAGTTTTCTATTCTTTCTTCTATATACATATTGAAAATCCAGGGATAATTTTTTAACTCTAGCCTCCAGGAAGATAGAGAAATATCTCTTCCTCTACTTTCAACTGTAACCACAGGGACAGGACTGAAAAGATAGAAATCTAGAGAGAACTATGATAATTGCATTTTTAAAAAATAATTAAATCTTACACCCTGCTTAGTTTATGAAAGTGAAGAATAGAATTTATAGGCAGATGGGTCTATCACGACTGTGGAAAAGATATATTTCTTTTAAATTACTAGTCTTTAGCAAGAGAAATTAGACCCAGATAGCAAGAGTGTTACATACCACCCAGTTCACAGTCTTTACTGCAGAAAACAGAATGTCCTACGAAATGAGGCTTATCGCTCTGATTGTAGCTACTGCAGAACAGTCTAAAGTCGGATTCCTGCAACATTGTGGATTTGAGCAGCTAAGAGCTTGGACAGTTAACTACATTTTTTACTTTTTAAGTCAAATGGCAAAAGTTCTGGGACAGACTTTCACCCGGTTACTGATGAAGTAAAGGCTGCGGAAATAAACTTGGGCTCACGGCAAAGGGGCATGTATTTTGTTGGTTTTTAAAATTGTTATTAATTAGTTCAATTTGTTTAGACCCATCACTGACGACTGTCCCATTTCTATTTCTTCTGTAGTGACTAAAATCTTTGACCAACAGCAACTTAGAGGAGGGAAGAATGTATTTGGCTTACTCTTCCAGGTTAGCCCATCCTTGAGGGAAGTCAGGCAGGAACTTCAAGCAGGAGGCCCAGGAGAAACTGCTGTCTGAGTCACTCTCTGACTTGCATTCTGACTTATTCTCTCTCTCTCTCTCTCTCTCTCTCTCTCTCTCTCTCTCTTCCTCTCTCACACACACAGGTTCATACTTAGCTAGTTTTCATATAGTCCATAACCTCATTCCTTAGAGATGGTACCACCCACAGCTGGCTGAGTCTTCCTGTATTAATTAATATTTAAGACACACTCCCCCAGACACACCCGCAGGCTAGTCTGATCTAGGCAATACCTTAACCAAGACTTTAAATCTTCCCTCAAGACTTTTTTAAAAAATTAGCTACAGCTGTGGTTGTGGCTGTGGCTGAGGCTGTGGCTGTGACTGTGGCTTAGGCTGAGACTGAGGCTGTGGGTTAGGCTGAGACTGAGGCTGTGGGTTAGGCTGTGACTGAAGTTGAGGTTGAGTCTCTGGCTTGACTGAGACTGTGGCCAGGCCTGTGAGTGAGGCTGTGTCTGTGGCCTTGGCTGAGTCTGTGACTGAGGCTGAGGATGAGAGCCACTTGTTGGTTCCCAATCCAGCAACAATCCAGGCCCAGAACCAGGGCTATGAGTTGACCCACTTCAACGTCTATCCACCTAAGAACTGCTGGAGCATATGTAGGGGACAGCCCTGAAGATCCAAGACTGCAGGATTTCCACATCACAGGGAAACAACAGGATATCCAAGTTGAGTTCCAGTGAAGGCCCAGTATTGATAGTATTGTAGAAGCCGGAGACCTTGGAACCAGACCAGTGTCTCATTGCAATGAGCATTTGCAAGTAAAGATGTGTGGAGTAAAGAGTATATTGTGTGTCTTACTGCATCACACTACAGTTTCCACGAAGATATTTTTCTTTTTCTTTTCTTTTAAATTTTATTTTACTTTATTTGGAGGATGTTATAAGGGCAGAGGGCAGATACAAAGGGGCAGAGCTGAATGAGATAGGGGTGTATGATGTGAAATCCACAAAGAATCAATAAAAACTTTGGAAGAAAAAGAACACGAAAAGGATAGATTCTTCCTCCCCCAAAAGCTGCCAGTTGCCAATAGCTTTCAGTTGGGGGTGGGCCTCCATGGGCCGCTCTCCTCTCCATGCTGGGCTCTTGCCTGGCTTGAACTCCTGCATGTCTTATGCATGGTGTCACAGCTACTGTGAATTCATATGTTCAGCTGTCCTGTTGTGTCCAGAAAATACCGCTTCCTTGGTTCCTTGTAGTCTTCCAATACCTCTGGCTCTTACAATCTTTCTGTGTCCTCTTCTTCAGTGATCACTGAGCCTTGGAAAGGAGAAGGCGTGATACAGAGCCCCCATTTAGGGTTGAGCCCTCTACAGTATGTGGATCCTGGTGGGTCAACCATGTTCCAGTTGGCACCCCCAAATCCAAGGATAGCACAGGGACAGCAGAATTGTACTTAGTGGTGTGTTTTTTGTTTCTGCCCTGAGAAAAAGAAAGGGGGGGATATGAGGTTGTGAGAAGAGGGAAGAGGTAGAGATAGGGAGATTTGGGGAAATGAATGAAACCCATTGTCTGAAATTCTCAATAATAAAATAAGTAAAAATTAGAAACCTGGAGAGGATCTTATGAAGACTCAGAGGAACACTGTCATTGTACACACAGCTGTGAGTATCAATGAAGTCACTGAAATGACTAACAGTGGTTCTATAGCCTTTTTAAAATCTGCAAATCCCCACCCTACTTGTTTGTGTTTGTGCATACGTAGATGCTGGTGTGTGCAGTTGCCCATGCATGCCACACATATGGATCAGAAGACAGCCTTGGGCAATGGACCTTGCTCTCCACCTTGTGGCTTCTACCCAGGTTCCAAAATCCCACACTGAGTTCCCAGGCTTATGTGGTAAAGGTTCTTACACACTAAGCCATGTCTCCAGTGTTCAAGGACAGTTTTATTTATGAAAAGGAAAATAGTCAAAATTTTCTGTTAAGTGTCACTCTCAAGAGCACTCGACACTTGTCATTTGAGTGTGCTCTGTGTGGGGCATTGAGAATTGCTTAGGAAAGGCGAGTGCGATGGCTCAGTGGTTAAGATCACTTTCTGTTCTTGCAGAGGACACGGGTTTTGCTACCAGCACCCACAATGAAACTTAGTCCAACATGAACTCCAGTTCTGGGGAACCTAGTGCTTTCTTCTCGACTCCACGGGCAGCAGAAATGCGTGTGGTTTTTCTGCTTTTCAAATATATGTAGGAAAAATACTCATCCACATTAAATGATAGATAGATAGACATTAGATAGATAGATAGATAGATAGATAGATAGATAGATAGATAGATAGATAGATAGATGATGTGGGATGCTCCTTTGTATGCTGTGAATATGTTTTATTACTATTGTTTAATAAAGAAGCAGCTTTGGCCTATGACAAGGCAGAATATAGCCAGGCTGGAAGAGATACAGAGAGATAGTAGGCAGAGTCAAGGAGACAGACACTATGTTGAAGGAGACAGACGCAGTTTACCAATAAGCCACAGCCTCATGGTGATACACAGATTAATAGAAATGGGTTAATTTTAAGATGAAAGAGCTAGTTAATAAGAAGCCTGAGCTAATAGGCCAAACAGTGTTGCAATCAATATAGATTCTGTGTCTGGGCAGCTGGGAGACAAACAAACAGTCTCCACTTATAAGTAAATAAGTAAGTAAATAAGTAAATAAATTTGGGTCAGGGAATGATAGGAAAGGAACCAATAAAGGTTTTTTGGTTACTTCAATTCCAGTTAGTATAATCCATCCTTCTGACTTTTGTCTTCTGTGCAAGCAGGACCCAGAGAATGGCTCCATATTTCCCAAAGCTGCATTACTTAGTGTATTCGAGGAATACAGATATAAAGGAACAAGCAATAAAAGGCACTTCTGTGTGAGAGCTGTGACATTTCCTCAGTCGTTTCTACCCTGAGCTTCCTCTGTGGCTTTCTGGTTCGGGCTTTGTGTACAGTCACTGTAACAGACTCACCGATGAAAGAGAAAGAGCAGGGCTACCGCTAAATTCCTCTCCCAACTCCGTGGATGTCCTTTTACTAATTACTCTGTCCTTATCACAAGACTATCCAGACTTCCCCTCTGCACCCAAAGCTGCAGGAAGCCTAGCTTCACAGTAAGTGGTCCTCCTGCCCTCTTGAAGGTCATGGAAACAGGCAACCTCTGCAGTTCTCACAGAGGAAAGTTTTCCAAAGCCCAAGTTCCCACCACGGAATTCCAGCACGCTCACCAGTGGCCCGTGCAAGAAGCAGAGCTGCTCTGCTTGGGAAAGATGCCACGGAAAACCTTCGTCGGTGTCGTTGTATCCCCAGAGAGCGGCTTTGGAAAGACCAGAGAAACACCTTCGTCGGTGCCGTTACATCCCCAGTGAGCGGCTTGTGGGGCAAACACAAGAGACGGAAACTGTTTGGCTGGTAGTAAAATTAACTTTCGGTACTTTACAGAAACCACAATGGTTTGTAACTTAATCAAACTACAGATTGCAATGACCTGGGTCTTTTACAAAAGGGCAAGTTTGTCAAAGGAGGAGCCAGGAGGCACTAAGTTTTTCATCAAGGCCTCACGGTGGCCTCTTCTGTGTCCTGTCATCTGGATGATTCAGATTCCATATGTCCATCCTTGGGTCATTCCACCCATAAATTTTGAAACTTTAGATTATTTTATTATTATTATTATTATGACTCTGCGTGTGTGTGTATATGTGTGTACATGCCTGTGTATGTGTGTGTGAACCATATATGTGGTCATTCATACCGAGGTACACATGTGAGAGGTCAGAGAACAACTTTTTGAGGAATCAATTGTTTCCTCCCACTTTTAAGTCTGTACTAGGAATTGAATTCAGGCCACAAGGCCTGCAAGGCAAATACCTTTACTCACCGAGCTATGTTACCAAACAGCTGTGTGGAAAAGCAGAGAAGGTCACGTCAGGGAGGCCAAGAAGAATAGAAAATTAAATACAGGAAGGGATGTGGACAATATACAGCCTTCAAAGACGAGCCGCCAGTGACCGACTTTCACTAGGTAGACACACTCCTGTTTCACGGGATTCTCTGATGATCAGGTCCACCATGACCTCCCGTGATAGACGGGAGTCATTCTCCAACATGGCTTGGGCTCTGCTCCATGCTGCTTTCACGTAGACTCATTTCCCAGGAAAAGCTATGCTGAAAAGAAGACCACTTTAATCTCACCAAAGTGCTCAAGTCTAAGGCATAAACTGTGTGATCATTCTGCACAAAGAAAAATAGGACGTAATATTAGTTTCTTTTCCATTTCTCTGATATCAATAACCTGACAAAAAGAAATCGAGGTGAAAATGGTTTATTTGGATTACAGGTCCGGGGGGCAAAGGTCATCATGGAGGAGAAGACTTGGCAGCAGGCAGAGAAGGCACAGTGGCAGGAACAGGAAGACAGCTGATCACATGTACCGTGCAGAGGAAGCAGAGAAAACAGCACCCTCAGTGTTCCCTCAAAGCCCACTCCCATTGACCATTCCCTCCAGCAAGGGGCCACCTCCTGAAGAATCTACAATTCCCCCACAAGGGCCGAGGAGTCACACACATAAGCACGTGGGGACATTCACACACAACCCACAAGAGATATGACAGCCAAAGAAGGACACGGAAGCTGGGCGGATCAAAACATGAACCAGTACACAGAGACCGTTACTGGGGATCAAATCAAAGCATTTTACTCTGTCCTCAAGGGACAAATGATGCGAATCAAAGTCCACAGCCTTGATCAATTTTTGGTTTGCTATGCCAACATGAAAATAAGAGTCGCTTGTTAAAGTTTTACAGGTTGACCTGATAGTCCCATCCACTTGTCTCTGTGAATCCCAGGTGCTAAACCCCAAAATGGTGAGATATTCTCACTTTCGTCAGCCTGGTTGATGTACCCTTGCTTTCCAAAATGGAATGCTTGCCCCCACTCACTCAGTAGGAGCCAGGATAATACTAGATCCGGTATTTCCCAAAGCCCGTGCAGACTGCTTGCTGTATTCCTGACTGCTGGTTAATAGTCAAATGGCACCTTTTGATTCTGATTTCCTCGGAGAGGCTGTTCTACAAGCATGGGATCAACCTAAAGGAAGTGGAGTTTATTTAATATTTTTTCCTTTCATTAGTGAGCTTAAATTACTTCCTTGTAAACCCTGCTCGTTACCTAAATGTACTAGCACTTTTGTTTCCTAATTAACTTTCTTATCAGAATCCCAAGCAAAAGTAACAAGAAATGGAATCATGATAAGGTACCCTGCCTCCTCCAAACAGATTTCCTTTTCCACTTTATCTCTTGGCACTGTTCTGGCTTGTTTAATTAAAATATCAGAAATTATTAGACTCAAATTATTTCCTGATCTGGTGCTCAACCTCCCCCCACCTGAAAGACTGTTTCTTCTGTCTCCATATTTAAGCTTTTATCTGCGGGAGGCAGATGAGTTTCCATATGTATGGAACTGAATTCACATAATTCAATATAATTTTGGGAGAAGTATCTAATTTAGTCTCTAAGTAATTAAACAAACAAATCAGATTCGGCTGTGCTGAGCCTTGAGTGTTTAAATGCCATGGTCTTCTTCTTGGGCTTGTAGATTGTCCAGAAGAATAGCATTAATGTGAAAAAAAAATGAAGAACTTTCAGCATGGAGCTGTGACATTCAAAGCAGACATCTTAAATTTTTTTTCATGAGAGGAATGGGGTCCAAAAAAAAAAAAAAAAAACCAAGTCCAAACAACTCACATAAGTCGTATTGAAGGCAAAACAGTCATGTCTGTTACAGACTTCACCATAGCGGAGGAAGAGCTAGCCTTAGGCGGTGGCCCTGAGCAGCCCAGGGCAGGGAGACATTCCGGGTGTCTCAAGGCTGGCATTTGCTTGCTTCTGGTGGAACTGTGCGGGAAGTTTGCCTTCTTTGAAGTCGTCTGCAACATGATCCCCTTTTGCACAGTCAAGCTTGGCTATTCCAACCACCAGGCAGCCATTCTCAACCTGTGTTTTGCTGGAGCCTCGGTCCTCAGCCCTGTGTTTGTTGGGTGGCTGGCAGATTACTACTTCAGAAGGAGCAAACTGTTGCACGTATTCTTACTGCTACATTTTCTAGGTGAGTGTCCCCTGCCAACTGTGTTCCTTTTGCCACATAGTTCAACAAGTTTTTGTTAGAATTTTTACTTTATTTTATTCCTGCCCTATTCTTAGCATAAGCTCTAATAAATGAAGTATATTGTTTCAGTTTATTTCATTCTATATATTGTCATTAGTAGATGTGTGTGTGTGTGCAGTGTTTTCCAGGACTGTCGATACCTAAAGCATTCTGATTACTTCATTTTTGCTAATTACCTCTTTGTGTGTCAATCATCTGTACACCTTAGAATGCCCTTGCTTTCCTCTTTGTGCTCCAACTGAAATTTGTGACAGATTCTATATGAAACATGAAATGCACTTGCTTCACAACTGGATGAATTATGCTGAAAAGGTTGCTGAAGTTCATGGAGAATAAGTAAGAGATGTTTGGGTTTTATAATTAATCATATAGTAATTAGATTTTATACAAACATATTCAACTACAGTTAAAGATAAGTGAATTCAGACAGAGCGTAGGATTGCTTACATAAAGAAAAATAAACATGCTCCAGATGCTTGGGAATGCTTGCTGAGGCATAAAGAGCAAGAGGGTGGATAATCTATAGTGTGTGTGTATGTGTGTGTGTGGGGGGGTGCAATGTTAGCAGTAGATTTTTACTTTCCATCCTGCTTGAGGTAGAGTCTCCCTTGTTTCTGCTGTTGACACGTATGCCAGAGTAAATGGCCTGTAAGCTTTCATCCAGTTCTCTTCCCTCTTTCTCCACAAAAGTGCAGGGATAAAAGGTGTGTGCTACCACGGCCAGCATTTTACATGGGTTCAGAGTCTGTGAGGTTGCATGGTTAGCATCTTTACCCACTGACCCCATCTTCAGACCCTTACTTGCATTGAGTCTGACCGATATTGGGTATGGAAGACACGACCACACATGCTCGTGCAGCACTCCACCACTGAGCTACATCCCCAACCCTTTGTACCTTTGTATTTTGAGACAGGGTCTCTCTGGGCTGCCCAGATGGTCTTAGAAAACACTGTGTATCTCTATCAGGCCCTGAAACTAGTCCTCCTACCTTAGCCTCTCAGCAAGGTGGATGGTAAGCCTGTGGTGCCGAGCTTGCCTTCCCTTTCTTCTATGAGTTGTGCCCCAGAGTTTCCCCTCAGAACTGCCAGGACACTGCAACCTGTGACTAAATAACAGAGACTCTAACCAAAGCATGACCTCTGTCTAAATTTATATGAACTTAGATTTAAAATGCAGCTTTTCCCTTGATGATGGCCTTTCTACTGAGCTGCCAGTAATCTGTCCAATTCCAGCCCACATACCGTTTTACCAGCATGACTTCCTGAAAAAAAATGAATTCATATTATTTCATATTGAAATAATTATTACTATTATCTAAAAGGTAAACTCCAAATTTAGCTTATCAGACCTCTATAATTTATATAAAATGTAATCCCCTGAAACAGTCTATGCTTGCCTCCAATAGCATTGAGATCCTTGATATGTACCTAATTTTCCCTCTGTCATTCATTCTTCCTCTCTGTCTGAAAGAGTTAACTTCTTCAAGTATTCACTCCATACCTGAGGATTTTCAAAACTCCTGCTGTTTTGTCATGACCCATGTTTATTGTTGTCCTCTCAGCATTTAGCCATGCTGTTATCAAATATAGAGGACTCCTGGGCTGGAGAGACTGACAGCTCAGTTAGTAAGTGCTTGCATGTGAGCATGGAGGCCTGAGCTCATCCCAGAGCCAGTGTCCAAATACACAATGTGGTAGTTTCCACTTTTAGCTCAATACTGGGAGATGGAGACAGGCTGCCTGCTAATGTGCAAGTGGCTTTTCCTAGGTATCACACACACACACACACACACACACACACACGCACGCACACACGCACACACACCCCTATTCGTCCCAGATAAAGAACCTATGACATCTAAAGTAATAATTACATCAAAGTTCAATTTGGGGAACCAGAGAGTTTTTATTTGGAGTTACTAATAGGACTGTAGGGAGAGGTAATTTATATGAGTGGGGATGAGTCAAAAGCAGGGGTAACACAAGCATAAAGTGCACACTAACCTGTGTGATGACATGAAATCCATGTCCCCAGAGCTCTTTCCTTGACTTTCAGACAGCTCCAGGGTCAGGAGTCTCCTCTCTGCATCTGTCTGATCCACCAGAGCTTGCTTGCTGCCTCTACGGCTCTGGGGAGGGGACTTAGTGAACTGTGCAAATTTCATCTTTCCCTGGATATGTGAATGAGGGGTCACCTCATCAGCCCTCTCTCTCTCCTACAAAGAATGTTTCAATTCAGAGGAAAGCATTGCACACCGCTAGTGTACTTGGCAAGCACCACGTCACTAAGATACCTTCATCTGCAGAAGCAAAGTGGGTGACTTCTGAGGGATAATACCCCCAGAGTTCCCTGGCTCCCACATACATTTACACATATGTGTTGGAACATACACAGGCACACAATCTACATGACTGCATTTACACTTCTGCCATGCACCTGTTCTCTGCATGTCTGCTTTTTCTGATGTACCCACTCCTGAACTGCTCCCCACCACCTAACATAAGATATGACAGCATGTTCCCCAGTGCTTACAGATACAGGCAGATGACTTATGCAGGATACAATGGCATACATCAAAGACAGAAATTCTTATCAAATATATCACAGATTTGTATTTTTATCACATCAGTTTTACTGCAGATAAAAATGAAGTCTTGATCTAATGAAATCAGAGCGTTGTGACATTTTCTCAAAGGGTGGAAATAGAACATTTTTGTGGCTTACACTGAGGCATCGTATGGTCTAGAAGTAGATTGTCCTTAAATAGCTGGTTACTGCATGGGCCAAATGAACTGAACATGCTGTTGCATAGCCCTTGGTACTGCCAAACCTCACATCACACTTCTAGAGAAACTTAAGTAGTAGAGAAACATGTAGTTTCACTCCTGGCTAACCTTGAAAGAAAACACTTTAAACTCAATACATTAAAGGGTCCACTATCCAGGTGAATTATCCCATTGCTGAATGACAATCAAACGCATATATTCTCCACATGGTAAAAACATGTAGAAAAGACATTAAATGCTGTTCCCAATTCATATTTCTGTGAAATTATAATTTCAATTTAAGTTCCAATTGAGGAACTAACTGCCCAGAGCCACTCTCTAAAAATTCATATCAAAAAAAGGTAACGTCAACGTAGTTGGGTAGAACAAAAGTAATCAAATGGATGAACTAACATTAATAATGTTGGGGATGTAGCTCAGTGACAGAGTGAAAGCCTAATATGTGTGAGGGTTTGGGGTCCATCCATTGTTAGTACCACAGGAAAAAAAGGAAAAAAGGAGGAAGGAAGAGAGGAAGGAAGGCAGGGAGGAAGAAGGGGATAGGACAGGAAGGGAGCTCTACCAACTGACATCTCAATATTGATTTCAAGAGTAAACAATACAGCTTATGAAAATGAAGGAATGAACAAGTTAGCAAACGATGGGACTGCACAGTAACTTCCATTTGGTGAGTAGAATTGTCCTGTGAGGGCCCACAAGGTAAAAGTGGGAAGTAAGCTCAAGCTTCCCTTGTCACTCTGTCCCCTACCTCCTCCTGACTGGTCTACATGAATCCAGGACACACTCATGCTTGCTCCTCCGGTTTTTCACCTCTCTGTGTATGCCAGGAAGGTTCTGTGAATCTGTGTAAGAAATCAGAGAAACAAGGTTGGCCAAAGGATTTACCTTGAACTCTTGACCTTTCCACCTTTACCTCCCCAGAGCTAGGACCACAAGTATCCTCTGCCAGGCATGCCAAATGTCTTAATGTTTCACATGATATAGTTCTGAGTCATCTTAATGTTGTTGAAAATTAGCATCATTTGCTTACACATTCTTAGATAAAAGATGGTTTTATGTGGGGAATCCTTCTGTCTGTGTGTTGCTTTTATTGAG